TTTCGAAAGAGCTAATAGAGACTATGAACTAGATAATCTATATCTAGAAGACGAAGAAGTAGTAGATGAATTTACTCAGTATTTTGAAGAAAAGAGAGTTAAAAGAGAAGTAAGTAGCTATTTATAAGTTTTCTATACTAAGTCTATACTAATTAACTCTTTAAGTTCTCTCCATTAAGTTGGTGGAAAGTTAATGAGCTTAACTATCCGGTTTTATCTATATTAGCTCGAAAGTATTTACAAATTCCAGCTACTTCAGCTCCTAGTGAGAGAGTCTTTAGTCAAGGAGCTTTAATAGTTACAAAGCAACGAAATAGGCTTTCTAAAGACACTATAGAGGCTGTAATTAGCCTAAAAAGCTGGGGTCTTTATCTAGAAGAAGAGACCGAAGAAGAAAGAAAGAAGAGAGAGGAGAAGGATAAAGATATAGACTTTGAGGATAACTACTTTATACTTTAGTAATTTGTTGCTATTTATAGTATACTACTTAGAGTACTACTTTGAGTACTCTAAGTAACTACTCTACTCTACTCAAATGAAATTTAAGTACTACTCTACTCTACTCTACTCACACTACTCAGAGTACTACTTGAGTACCTGAGTATTCCTTGCTTACACTGGTACTAGTATTATAACTAGTTTTAAGGGATAAACAGAGGGATCGCTAGTTAGATAAATACTAAGAGATATCTAGTAATAATAGTATAGTATCTATTATAGAGATTCTACTAAATTCAGTTAGGAAATATAATCTCTTAGTAAATAGTACTATACTCTTAATAGCTCGGATATAATAATAATACTAGACTTAAATATAGCATATAATACTTGTATTATATAGAGTTTTCTAATCTATACGCGCTTACTAATTAGTATTAGTTTGACTCTAATAGAGAGTCTAGACAAAGTATTAATACAAATAGAATAGAATAGTACTATATTCGACTATCAGATATATACACCGAGTAAAGGTTATAGGTACTCGCTATTATATAGTAGTGCTAAGGCGCTAGCGCCACTGCTAGCCCTAAGGCCAGCTTACACGTACTATAACTCATACCGAGTATTCACTTAATATTCGTATAGCGACAATATGTATTATCTATGATTTCACTATAGCTTAATTCGAGCGCGAGAGAATATTTAATATTCTAGCACTCTACCTTTGAGGAAACTACTACCTATAAAGCCGATACTACTCTACTTATAACTCTTACTTACAAAGTCGTAAAGTAGTTTATAGTTATATCGCGAAAGCTATAATAAGATAGTACTTCTATCATTGATTTTTGAACGCAGAATTAAGTAATAAGAAGGAAGAGAAGTAATCTTTAGCGATTTAATTGTATTACTAATTATAATAAGATTGTTTGTAATTCGTAATCCAGCTGCCATTACAAAACCCCTATCAACTGAAACCTGAACCCCGAAGAAGACTTGTTATGTAGTAGGCTTTACAAACTCTAGATGACACAAGAAAACACCTTTCCAAATAACTTTCCAACTGCAAGCGATCTCCACATATCTCATTATCTAGCCATACCAGTTTATCAAGACCAAGATATTTCCATTTATGAGGCCCCAAAACAGCCCATAGAGTGATTGTACCTCCTTGCTACATCATGATATGCTTTTGAGACCTGTCAGTATCGGGGATTTTGGATTTGAGGAGGAGGTTTCTCACTTTCGCCGTTGGGCGCTTGGGGCATTTAGTTGTAGGCGTAGTTCTCACCACTTGGGTCATGCCATTCTCCATAATATGGACCGGTTTCGGTGCTTGCGTTTGACCCAGCTGCGGTGGCAGATGACGTGGTATTTGGGTAGAAATCCGGTGTGCATCCCATAGTAACTGGATCCCACTTGTCCTGGGGCTTATTTAGATCAATCTCCTTTCGACGAGCATCTGGCTTGAAACGGTCGGGATCCAAGGGGGAAAACATATCGTAGTCCTCCTTTCGACGAGCATCTGGCTTGAAACGGTCGGGATCCAAGGGGGAAAACATATCGTAGTCCTCCTTGCTCGCCAGATAATTGTCCTCAACTGCCTCGCCAGAGTATTTCCTTCGCTCCAATCCCATTTCAGCTGCTTTCGCTTCCATATGCTGAGCCAAGTATATCCAACTGTATTCGCGCCCATGGGACCCAACGAGATTTCTGAGATCAATCATCACATTTACCTGGTCTTGAGGCCAGTTCCGTTCGTCAAACCATCCAGCGTGCTTTAGATAAGGTTTAAGATCCGGCCATGCCAGTTTGATTGACTCGACCACCCTATTCCGTGGATCTCTGTAGATGCGTCGGTTTTCTTCTGAGCCTGTGATCCATTTCGAAGCAAATGCGTCGCTAATGAAATTAGGAGCGCTACGCGCCTTGCTAGCCACTCTCGAAATGCTGAAGTCTGCAGGACCATCCTCCTCCCTTCTGAATGACTGCGCTACTCTACCTATTCTTTCCACAACTAACTTCCTATCGCTTACAATGTGACCAAAGACGTTCATGCATCTTGAAACTGACTGCAAGACATGTGCCGCAATTATTTCCTCGCATTTCCACCTGTTGTTATATTTGGACATTTTGACGCGAGGGTTGCTGCAAGTCGTAATTCTGATGTCTTATGTAGGTAGGTAGGGGAAGTCGTTTCGGTTTATCGTGAATGAACGGTTAGAGAAGGGAGTATTTTGGTGGATCGGAGTCGCTGGAGTTGGTTGAGTAGAGTTGATCGTGTGTGATGAGAGAATAGTACTCTATGCAGTAGTATTTGTATCAACTGTAGGTAGGGAAAAGGTATTTGGCTTCGTGGAAGCACTATTTGAACCTTTTAGTCAATAGGTGATGTTATTCACAGCAATTAATCAATCATCTGACAATTCGTTAGCACATGAATAACAGCCTAACATCCTTAAAATTAAGCAGTAACGTATCTAGCTCTTGCCTATACTTTATTATCAAAGTACTTATTCACGACCTCTTCTACGATCACATTTGTTTGTTTCTAGTTAGACCTTTTGCTTGATCTATTCTGTCGTCTAATCGACTTATTACCTGCGAGTAAAATTACATAAAAGTATCATATGCGCATGCTATTTCATCTTATTGAATTCCCCTACATGGTCATACAGTAGAGTACTGGATGGTAGATCGTGCCCTCTATAAAGGAAATTACTTCTAAACATCTAGAATAAAGATTCAGAAAGCGAGTCTTGAAAGGGTAGAAAGTTCTTTTACAATAACGCTACTTTGGATGACTCATACCTACTCAATTCACTCTCATGTTCCCTGTAAAAGTTTGGCCAAGTTAAATGTCATTGTACTTTTGACCAACCCTTCACTAAAAATGTTGAAGAGGGTTGTTTCTCTTATTCACGCATCTTTCAAGAAAGCGAGATGTAGGACTATCCTAGTAGTGTGTTTGAATTTCAAGCTTCCAGTTTCCTTTCTGGTCCACCTTGACATAAGATCACGCTTTTGTCAAAAAAGATCCTAAATGCTATCTTGACTAGGCATACCTGAATGACTTTTGAGTTTATGTTTCCGCAACTTTCTATTATCTTGTCAGAGTAGATACTCTATATATCATATGACTGAGGGTCAAGGTTTGGAAACCCCAGTTTTCCAATACTTCGCTCTGCCATTATCTGGCTTTTATAACAAGCTGAATTTAAGGTAGCAATCATTGACTACGTACTATATTTGGTCAAGAAAATTTGTCGACCACAAAGCTCAGACGATTTCTCTTACCCAATCAACAGATAGAACCCATCTAGGCGAAGAAGCCCTACACGTTTAATTCACATACACGGAAAACACTACAAGTAAATACGTCTCAAGAATCCTTCACCCCGGAACAGGTGACAGAAACGAAGATTTCAAGTCCTCCACAAGACGCTCAACCACATACAAAGTCCCCACTCAAGACATAATCCATTCCCAAATCAAAGACCTATCTGATCACGCCCCCAAAGTTCAACATACAAATGAACAGTCTCTATCCCCCACACAAAAACTCCGAATGCGATGCCAGATCCCACCTACTCTCTCACATACCATCCTTTCACAAAGGCCACGGGCGTTTGCAAGTTGGACAAAGACCATTGTTCTCATTCCCTTGTGACTGGCCCACGTCTCCACTCATATCACCGCTTTGTCTAAAGTACTCCGTTGGTATTTTCTAGAAGCAACCCAAAGATAAAACACCAAGTTCAACCTACAAGTTCGTACCCTTACTCCACGGGTATTGCGAAGTACCAGCAACTTGTTCCAGGTTGAGAACTGGAGGTGTTTCACCAACTAACGATTCTTCATGTGAGTTGGCTTGTTGCAAATTGCTTTTTTGAAATATCGTAGGTTGAGGAACGGGAAATGGTCCAAATACCATACCTGGCTTAGCAACTGCAACTTGTTGTGGATTTGCATTTTCAGGACCTGGTTGCTGGGTGGAAGGAGTTTGATAAGAGGGGTGTTGACTTGAAGATCGCCAGTTATCCCGACGTAGGATTTCGTCACGACGGTACGGATCACGACGGTATGGATTTCCTCTTTGCTACGACATATTGTATGATATGTATACTTTGGTCTTTTGGGAATGGTATTGGTTAGATGAAAGTTTTGAATGTAGAGATCTTTGATGTGGCTTGTTTGGGAGGAGTGTCGATTGTAGTAATGGAAGTGGAAGATTGTAGGAGAAGATGGAATTTAAAAAGAATATAGTAGGTTGTTATCAGAGCCTATTATAAATAAGAAAGTATGTAGCCTCAGCAAGTTTCATCGAGAATCTATCGAATCTCCATTCAATTCTACTCTGATTAAAACTCGTTACACTAGTTACTTCACTTTAAGAATAACAGAAAATACTTCCTCGGTGAATCAATATTAACCATGGAATTTGGAACACGCGTATATCCCAAATAGTGAAAAGTAATAAATCAATCGTATACTAGCCTGACCGGCTTGTTGCTCAATAAGTACTAGCTTTGTTTTTAAAGGATACGGATAGTATATAAGGGGAAAATTTATGTTCTTTGTTCCTTGAATCTTTGAGAACTTAATTTCCGAAACGTCGTATTATGTAGATTCTTAACGTATCATTCTTACTTGGTAAATGTATGTACAGTACTTGAGCAGGGTCAAAAATATCATGTGAACATCAGATACAAAACCTTTTACATTTCCATATTACTACACAAAAACCACAACGCTAGGTTTAACGCCAATATTATATATTTTCTGATAAAGTTTTGTGTATGAACACAGCTACGAACACAGATCCTTTGTTCTTTGACCATATGGAATCGTGGGTATTACACCGAACGCCAATGAACCCATCGCTGCTTCTTCCTCCGCCCAGTACCTCGCACTGTGGTACGTCTCCTTCCCGCCCAACCCAGCATTCTCTCTCATCTTAAACCAAGACGTCTATCCCAGTATGGCAAAACCCTTCCAACAACATAACCCCCATCCCCCCTCAACCAAATTTCTTCGTCCCCCCCTTCTTAGCCTCAGGAACCTCCTTCTCCTTCTCCTTCCCCTCCTTCGGCGCATCCTTATTCTTCTTCCCACCCTTCAGCAACTCCAAATGTCCAGCTTTCGAACCGAGCGTGCGCTCCGTCATCGAGATCAGACCCGCGGAATGTTTCTATTCACACCATTCCATCAGCCTCAATCCCATATCCTTGAGTAAAGATACGCGCTCATGAAAAGTGAGGCAAGAAAAGGGTAATGCGATAGGAGGGAAAGAAAAACATACCTTCGTCATCTTCGCATTCCTCACCAGGTTCGCCTTCCGCGGCGCAATCGTCCGAGCTCCCTTCTTGGGACCCAGCACGTTCTGTCGTCTGCCGGAGGATTTCGCGGTCGGCGCGGTGGATTTGGAGGATGCTTTTATGGTTCCTTGTGCCATTTTCGGGGTCGTGGTTTTGATCCGGAATTTGGAGAATAGACGGAGAGTGACAATTGAGACACAGTGGTTTGTGATTGTCGGGAACAGGTTGAATGTGGATTTGACTTTGTTATGCTGTGTTTTGGAGGGATTAGTTTCTGAGGTTGGTGATGAGAAAGAGCCCAGCTGGTCTGGGGAAAATATATTTCGAGATCTTGAGCTTGACGTCGGCGATAAGCGGAGCGATAAGGGAACATTATCGCCGATCATGATCCTTGTTACCCCGCGTCGCCAAATTGTTTACCCCCTTTACTCGTACTGCATAGCATCGGAACAACAGCAGTAAGTGATTGTACTCAATCTTGCGGAATTCTTCACAATCACGCAAAGAGGAATCCTCGAAACAAAAATTTTCAATTCTGGAGAGGCAAGGTAAACAATTGATGTCAATTATTGTACACTACATTACATTCAGGTCGCTTTCCAGAGCCACCCAGAAGGAAACGCCATGCGCCCCCATCAATCCTCCTTGTTTGCTACAGAAAGGGTAAACTGAAAACTTGCAATGCACTAATCTCAAGCACACAAGTTATTCACTTCCTTGATCTTGTAATCGATAGCCATTCCCCAACCATTTCTACCCCCCACCCAATTCTTCTTCTTCCCCACCTTTCTAATCTCTCTTGCAAGCTCCTCTAGAGTATCCTTCATCATCATCTTATCCTTCTTGACCTCCTTAATGGAAAGAATTAATCTCAATCCCTCTTTATGATGCTTTTTACCAAAGTCACTCGCCCACTCGGCATCTATTTTCAAGCGAGGGTTCTTCTCGTCGATTATGCCGGCTGGATAGATAGCACCGATGAGCTGTCCTACTTCTCCCAAGTATCGTGACCACCATACCTCTTCAGGAGTCAGGATATTTTCAAGAGCGCGCTTGAAATCTACTTCTCGTGGGGGTAGCTCTCCTTCGTAACGAGCTTCAAGCATCAATGCGAGAAGGGCTCGATCCGCATGGGAAACTCCATGGATCCCGGACATGAATCCGGTGCTGGTGGTGTATAACGCAGCGGTGGAAGCCGCCTCCTTGTTCATCGGAACATGTACATACATGACGTTGGTAAAAGCATGGATAACATGTCTATTGAACGAGTCTGGGAACTTCCTTCCACCTTTCGTCGAGTCCTTTGGAATGGCGTTGAAAATGAGATCGCTCATGGCGTTGGCGGATTCGTGGGCATATCTTAAGGTACCGACTTCCAAAGGATCATAGTCTTTGATCTCCTGGCTTAATTCTCGGAACATGACGCCCTCGCGAACTCCTCCCTGGCAGAAGTGTGCCTCTTTGATGCCGTGGGGCGTTGATTTTGAAAGAGCGTTTACCAGGAATGCCACGGCTGGTACTTGACCACGACGTCTGTCTGAAACTCTGAATATGTCTTCTGCTTCCCGAGCTACCTTCTTCAACGTTTCGACGTCTTCAAATTTCTTTTTGCTTGCTGTGTATCCGTTAATCAGACTGATGGGATAGGGATGATGGTTGCCCTGGTTTCCCTTGATCTGATTCATGTAAAGCAGCAAGTAACCCCAACCTCTGAATCCACCACCGGAAAGATACAGTCGGAAACCTCCCTCTGCTTTGGCTTGCTCCATCAAATCCTCTGGAATTTTTAGTTGTTCATACGCACTGGCAAAATTATCTTCCATCTCATCTCGTAGTTTTGCAACTGCCTTGTCACCTTCCTCGCTACTCTTCCCTTTCTTCAAATCTCCCAACCTCTTCGTCAGAGCCGCCGCTCCGTAGGGAAAACTGACAGAGCCCTTGGGACTAACTCGGACCTTCCCCTCGCGAGCTACCATCCACGTGATTTGCGTCGAACCACCCCCAAGATCCATAACAATACCACTGACATTCGAAAACCCACTAGCGACTCCAAGGGCACCGACATACCCCTCTTCTTCCTTTCCCAGCATCTCCACAGTAAGTCCTGTAGCATTCTTAATAGCCTTCCGATACTCCTCCGAGTTAACAGCCGTGCGCGTAGCCTCAGTAGCAATGATACGAATCTGCTTCTTAGGAACATTCAGATCATTACAGATAACCCGGAAACGAAGCAATCCACCAATGATCGTATCGATTACATCCTGTGGAATCGGTATCCGTTCACCAGTCTCGTCATCGTATTGAGCCGAGTAAAGACTCACATCTAGTCTGTATGAGACCAGCGTGGGCAAGATGCGAGACGTTGGCGGCGCTAGGTTAGTAACTGAGAGACGAATACCGTTGCTGGAAACAATTTTAGAGAAAATTCTTGTTCGGGCGGGAGGGGTAGCGGCTCACCTGCCCATGTCGACAACTCCCCAGAGGTGTTCGTTGTCATCTTTACCTGCTGGTTCCTCCTCGCGCGGACAGGGAAAATCTGGACCGCCTCCCATGGTTGTTAGATGTGATAATGTGACTCTACGAATACGGAGTATTATCAATAAGAATGAAAACGAAAATGAGATATGTTTTGGTTTGGAGATGAATGAGAGAAATTGAGTGTTGTTGTCGTTCGTTGCCTTGCGGTTGGCTTTGGGCGCCACTTCCGCCGGCTTATTCCTGGGTCGTGAAACCTTGGCGGCTGCGCTATGTTTGTGGGGGAAAACAAACTTTTTACAGCTTGGAAAAAGTGGGAAAGTGATAGGTGGGGGGAAAGGAAATAGGGAGTGGAATGCAAACCGGTGAGGTGTTCTGGGATATTTCTTGGTGCTTGCGTACTCGTATGTTTGGACAAAGAGGTTTTGGTGTTGCATATTCTTTTGAAAAAAAAAAAGATATAGATGCCAAGGAGTGACGTCACTACTATTTAGCCAATCGAGATTTTCAACGATTGCTTTCACTATTTAGTAGGTAGCTAGCAATTGTCTCTCAAGTGTTATTGTCTTGAGTTGCCTCTTCTGTCTTACACGCAATTCAACGAGAATCAGGTGGAGTACTCTCCTGTCAAAACTCCAGTCGACAGTAATCTTACCCAGCTGATAGTATTTTACCGTCAACTTCATTGAATGACGTTCTTTGGTTCAAAATTCTCCTGAGCCTTCGTACTAAAATACAAATCTTGCTTACACCTGAAATATACGGCAATTTGCTAAAACGAGAACAATTTATTCAGAAATGGTGAGTTAGCACACTTCAAAATACCCAACGAGCGTAGATTAGAAAAGTGAATCTATGGATTAAAAGAAACAGTAGAAATATAAATGTATATTCAGTGTAAGTACCGGTAAACAGGTAGTGTTGATGAGCCTCCGGCGGTACTCCGTAGCTCGCTTGACATAGTTGCCAGGTTGCAACATTCTTCTAATAAACCCTTGGCATACTTCTTTACTTTTCTCAGCGCGTTAAGGGGACCCATCAACACAATCCCATTGTTGAATTGTTCAACACGTACAGCCATGGCGCCTGAGCTGGGATTCAGCACCTACAAGAGGTACAAGTCGGGCACGAGGGAATTCACATCATGGCTTGCACAAACGGCAAAATCGTTGAGCGCGGACGTTCTTCCTACCATTCCTCTAGCTGGCAAGAAGGGCATAAATGGAGGGAGGAAGCGCAAAGCTAAGAACAAGAATGGTAAGTTTCACGCTGTGTCTTACTTGGGAGTGCGCGAGAGTAAGTCTTCCTCATGGTAGATACCTTGCTTATCAACTGTCTAGAAAACGGCAATTCTGTGAAAGCAAATAGTCATGGGGACTACGAAATTCAGATTGCCGACTTTCTTCCATTGGCTCAACTCATCGCTGATTACGAAGTGCCCGTTCCCGATCACATGTAAGAATCATCCCTTGCTCGTTTTCGTAGATTGTTGTTTGGTAACTAACTTGGACTTTGCAATAGATATAACCTTCTTGGAAATGTCATTATGTTGCGAAAAGAAGCCTCAGCTTGGCTTCGTAGTTCAGAAGGCCAAGAAAGCCATCCTGCTATTGGCGAAAATCACGACCATGACAATGATCACGACCACGGCCATAAGCATTTCATCAGTGTTATCAGCCATGTCAAGAATATTCTGAGAAAATGTGTTGGCTCTAAAATTCACGAAAAGCAGAAAGATATTTTTGATGAAGTCCAAAAAAGTACCACTAATATGTTCGAGAAAATAGGTGTGGAAGAGACGAAGACTGAACCCGACCAACCGGTGAAAACACCGATAACGACCGTTAGCACTGTGACTGCGGTGCAGACTCAAGGGGCAAAGTTTGATATTGCTGGACATGACGAGGTTCTCTTCGCCTGTATCTTCTTTTTCCAGGACTTCCATTCCACCCGCCTACTGTTGCGGGAAGCTTGGAAGGATTATCGAGACGGTGAAGACAGCTTGATGGCAGTATCCTTGATCACTAATACTGCTATTGAACTCATTCAACGAGCTGTAACAGAACTACTCACGGAGATCAATGGACGACACGAGCATGCTCCCACTGAAAGAAAATCTGATACATTGGGTTTACTGCCATGTGGCTATGAACGTGGATGACTTCGAAGAGGAAGGTGATATAATCAACATGGCCAATTATGGACAAGCAGATATCCTTTGTAAGATTACCGATCTTATTTTGGAAGAATGGGTTGCAGAAACTAGCTGGAAACAGCTAGGTTTTGTGAGTCCGGATGATATATTAGAGAGTAATTACGACGAGCTGCACCCGAGAGATCAGATCATACATGACAGGATTTTCTCGGCGCATATGCTGCAACATTTACATAACTTTACAGTACTCAAGCTGCAGCTTCCTGCAATGGATAATATTACAACAGGAATTGCAAGTATCGAGGCAGACCGTAACAAAACGATACCCTTGTGGTTTACGTTGGCCTATCAAATACTTTTGGATATTCGCCACGTCCTTGGGAACAGAGGTGCGGAAGCTTTTAGTGACCTTCAAGAGTCGGGTTCTGAAATTTCTCTTGGCGTCAAGAAGTACTTCGATTTCTCACGAACTATCACTGGCAAATCTAAGACCTGGCATACCGATAACGATCCTCAAATACGAAAGTTGCCCCAGTTCAACAAGGATTGGCTACAGCGAGATTTTGTTGTCTTTGCCATCAAAAAGCATGGCAAACAGAGACCCATGGCTTTGGATTTCGATATCATGTGTCCTCCTTATTTTCTTCTCAAGAATCACCCGCTACTTTGTGGATCGCTGCAATACTGGATGCATCATTGTCACCGCCAATGGCAAATAAGTCTTACAAATTGTTATGATTCTATATTAGCCTGTGCGCACCTATACAATGCCGCAAGACAATCCGGCTTCTTCACACAAAATTGGACAGAGATGGATCAAGTTGTCCACATACATGGAGCACAACGAATCTTTATCGGTGCAATACCTACCACGTACCGTGATTTCTTCACGAGATTTCAGATGGTGTTGGGCGCAAGTGCCGTTAACTTTGCCGGCAAAACAAGAGCCGTCATGGACGGAAGGCGCCAACCAACGCAATCAAACAAAAGCCTAGGAGCTAGACGCTTACGAAAGACCCTACCGATTCACGATGTCTTCGAAGGTCGCTACACGAGGTTAGAAAAACAATCCGATCTATCCGTTCACAAAATCGATGCACTCATCGCCTCCATGAAACCCAGTCTCCATGACCATTTGGTCCAGCCCGCAAACACGTGGACAAGCACTCGAAAAATCCACACCAACGACCTCCTCATGATGCTGCGCCTTGCGCTCTCAGAGAATATCCCGGAACTGCATTTCGATTACCTTTCTCTCCACATCTGCTGCGCCAACTTCCTCAGTCGTCTTCGGAGTTCTTTCATCGCGAACGCCGACAATGATTTTGATAGTCTTTACCGGGCCGTGTCGAGAGAGGATGCTTCTAGAGCTCTGGAGCTTGGTCTTAGCCAGCCTTCTTTGGCACTGATATTGCGGGATATCATGTTGGTGGATGATAAGTCTTTGGCGTTGCATCTTGTTAGTTCGATTCTGTTGGTGCATCCGGATGCTTTGAAGGCTGCTGGGGGCTCTTTCAAAAATGCCGAGCTTTGGAGTGGTGTGTTGACTTGTAGTGGTGTGAACCTTAAGGTTGCTAGTGATAGTCTTGCGATGTTCTTGGATACTGGGGATCGATAAAGATCAGCGAGAATCTGATCCAATGAGCATTTTCATATGCTGAAGACTGGATTTTTGGATCCTTCTGCCCCTGACTAGAAAAGAACTTGAAAGAATACTACCCATACTACCCAAATGCAATGGAAATTAATGCTCGAAACTTTGTGCAGTTTGCTCAGTCATTTAAAAGTATTTGGACTGCTAAAGGGGCACAAAAGGCAATTATCCTGAAATATTCGCATCTTCGTTTTAATTACCTATGTCTCCTGTAGAATCTCGTTTTTGATTAGGTGCATGTAAAATAACAGCAATATCTTTTAGCCTTGTTAGGACTTTGTAATAGATTAGTTTTCCTGCGATGACAGATATCGCTTTTCAGATGGACACTTGCGTGAAGACATCTTCTGGCTGTACTACTGGATCGTTGGTGGCCACGAGCTGATCGTCGTCGAAATTTCCGGGAGGCGCAGTATCAAAACCGCAAAGAGAAACCATGGGCGGTCCTGCAGAAGATAAGCTCGACTGTAAGGTCACCACCAGAATCGCGCTCCAAAGTCTTCGTCGTATTTCGAAAAACTGTCCCTATAGGTAGGCGTGCAGGATCTCGATGTAGACCTAGGAGGACTGCTTTCTTGAACACTGTTCCGATCGAAATCCATGTCGAGTCTGTACCGGCTCCAACATTTTCCTGGGCAATCAAAAGAAGTAGATGTGTCAGAATTTATATATCTAGCCGTGACTTGAACTTGGGCTCTGAAATCCAAGTTACTGCCTCATAAACCAATTGGACAGCTGAGCCTCGCAATGAAAATTGCTCGTCGATGTAACTGCACCAATAGCAAGCACTCGACTAGTGCATCAGCGATCACTCTGGAGGGTAAATCAGACGTGGGTGGTGAGGGCCATGAAGGTGTCCGCCGGGCTATGATGACCCTGGCCAAGGATTTACGTCTTTCCATTCCTCTCCAGGTTGCCGAACTACCTTCCAGTAGATGGGGCTCAATGGTCTCCCAGATCTCTTGTATCTGATTCTCGTGAGTCCACTAATTCAAGGAACTTCAACCATTAACAGAATATAAATACTCACTATGAGTACTCCATTTACTGCCCAATGGCTACAAGCGTGTCTTATGAGCGATGCTGAGGCAAATAAATTCAGGTTGGCCGGTGGAGCGAGTCTCACAAAGAACATGGAAGGTCCCGCCTAGAGAAGAGCTTGTCTGCTCGATGCTTGCGTTCGAAGTGGTCGAGAGGGGAGAATCTATGGTTTCTAGGCTTGATTTCGACAACTGGTCTTCAAGCTGGCGAAGCCTAAGCTTCAATTTCAACGACTCCGCGTGTTGGACAGATAGCTGTCTGGTAGGCTTCGGTAGTTCTGTCATGTCGGCAATGTGTGAGCTTGACGAATGACTGGAACCATCAGTAGGTACTGATGCTTGAGATCTTGGAGCCGCTAAAGCAAGTTCGATTGTTTGATTGCGAGAAGGTGAAAGAGGATGATTGGGATTCTCATAGATACAAGCTCCGCTTCTAGCCCGCCGACAATTGCAACAGGGTGGACCTTGCGCTTCCTACAGAGCGAGCATGATCTATGTTCTAGTCGTCAGCGACGTATATCAATAAACGACAGTTCTCAGTTGGTCGTCTATCGTCCATAAGTCCAGGCATGGCTATCCTACGTCACGTGAGCCGGTGTACTTTTCTGTTCAAGAGAGATCGATGTGTCGCAGATAATAGGTTGTTCCTTTCCTTTCTTTTGTCAACAGCCAAGTTTAGAATGAGTGTAATGACTGAGTTTGAAGTAGCCCGTCTGCTTGTCTCCATCGTGCAGAGTACAACGGATGCCTATCTCCAAGCCCGACCTTGAGTATACATATATCCGAGTCCAAGTCTGACAGGCAAGGTATCTCCGACACTTGCCCGCCACAACGCATGCCAGCGGCACGTACTCGAGTACTACAGTATGTGGCAGTAACGCCTATCACCCTGGGTCAACGGGCAGGGCCACTACCATCACTTTTGGTTACTCGTACCAGGGCAGCCTTGCCACTTTCGAGCCGATTGTGATGGCCCTGGAGGAATAATTTGTGGTACTCGCTTGTCGCTCCCTCACGTGACCTACCCTCCCTAGCACTTGGCTCGGCTAGATAAGGCCGCAGTTTGTATCTAGCTCTCTTCTCTTCTTTTTTCCTTACCTTCAAAACTTGATCTTTAGAATAAACCAATATCTAAAGATAAAATTCTTTTTCTTTGTTCACGACCTTTCTATTATAGAGTGAAATTTGCAGTTAATAGCGAGTGAAAGAAGCAAATCGTCAGGTATAGATGACTAAATATTTATATAGAACAATTTTTAAGAAATGAATAGTTGAGGAAAAGCTCCAATAAACAAGTAATATCTTCTTATTCTTGAGTTGAGTATATCCCACACTGTCTGTATACTATCGTTGATTTCTCCACGTCCCTGGCTGGCTTTCACACCCATGCTTCCCAGCTCCGAGCCCTTCAGGAGACACCACCGCTCTGAATTAAATGTCCCAGAGGTCTTACCTTGGTGTAATACATCACTATAACGACGTTAGCGAGGATGATTTTGTGGAATACGTTGCGGATAAACTAGCTGTTGCGGCGAACAACGATCTTTAACATGGTGCTAGGATCAGCATTCACGACAGTGACTTTACTGAGGGCTAGGTCTTTTCTAAGGCGCCTCTGAAGTTCACTCCTACGGTTCTACGGCGTTAGAAGGTCCTATTCTCCTAGTACGTGTGTCTTGGGAGAAGAGAGGAAAGAACCTACACCATCATTAATATACAGTCTTTTGTCGCTCCATACAGACGCAAGCTACCGTTCATAACTGGATCATCTGCAGTCATTCTCCAGGAGCCGTCAGCGATATCATCAAGACTCTTGTGGATCAACGTCTTCCAGTTATCATCTGGGTAGCGCCAATCGATAATGGGATTAATGTTTTCCATGCGCAACAATGAACAGAAATACGACGCGCCCAATCTGGGATTCAGACTTCGCGACAATAGTACCATAAGCCGCCAATGACCTGGATAGTTCGCTGCGAAGCTGCGCTCAAACCCTCCCTCAGATTTCTTGGTCCACGTTTGCTGTTGAAAATCCTGGAATTCGGTATCTAGCACAAGCGCGCTGATGGGAGGCCTTTATTTCTTCGCTATGCGTTCGTTCATCGCATGCCAGCTCTGCTTGCATCTGAAAGTTAGAACTGCAAGCTGTCTTCTAGTACCTCTGAGAAGGACCTGACTATGCTAATGGATTCTGTGTCCCCCAACTGTTTAAAATTCAAGCCATCGACAATCCCCATGTTCCTGGCATGGAGGTAACGACTTTGCCTGCACATTCGGCACTTATTTAACGCCCAGGGGTGTCCAAAGAGCAAATCCCAAACCCACCAGATTCCAAATCAAGCTATCCGATCTATTCAAGTGGCCCTTGATGCTAGCGATCCATGAGCAGTTTGCTGTTAAAGCTATCACCAAGTCAAGCAACGACTACTACTTACACCGAGCGCGTATGGAGGCAACAGCACAAATTGTCACGAATGCATTGCTTCCCATACATATACCCAAACCCGCACTCGCGACCCCAAACCAGACCACCAAACCTGAGCTGTGTAGAGGCATCAAGCCCAAGTCAAAGTTCAAGCACCATATGCAGGCAGCGGCCGGGATAAACACGACGCTGAAGTTATATCTTTGCTTACGCTAGTGCTGATATCGATGCCATGCTGCGCGATTGCCAGACGTAGGAGGTCGAAGTTACAGTCATTGTGGTAGCACGAGTTGCGTGGGCGGTATGTCATAAAGTAACTGGGCGTCCTTCAAGTGAGCACTCTGTGGGTTTATGGGGCGAGAGGTATGGCCAGAGACAAATTGAGGAGCTGACGCAATGATGCCCAGGTTCATGATGGACAAGAAAATTAACGGAAAATACATTACGTAAGTATAGATCAACCCACTACTATAGAGTATTCCATGAAATTTAATCATTTTGGTTAAACAGAATAATTAGCCGAAAATTGTGGGACTGCTGAGTGACTGATTCTGGAAGACATCAAAGAGACATGTTGAAGATAGAAAGATATGAAAGGTTCCTTGTGATTACAGGTTCAATTGATTGTATGACATAACTAAAGTGGCATGACGAGGTTTTACCAAAATAGGTCACAATTGACACTATTTACTACGCACATGCTTTGCTTGATTGATACCTACTGAGGAAGTTGAATGCCAAGTGCCAATTCCACAAAACGATCCCGCAATACTCCACTTGGTATCATCGTAAGAGCTCTCGCCTTGACTTTATCGCAAACTACCGTCTCAAAGGCAGCGACTAGTTCGTCAATGGTCAAGCGCTGTTGATAATCTCCTAGCAGAATGTCGCGAGCTACATTTTCCGCCGCCTCCTTTTCCTCGTCTCTTGCCTTGAGTTGTTCTTTGACCTCTTTTAGTTCCCTTTGCATCCCCTCCAGAACATTCGCAAATTTGTTTAATGCTGTATCAACATCATCCTCGGATACACGACCTCGTTTTCTCGCTGGCATCTCGGCTTCCATTCTAACAGATTCGTTATCATTCTCCATCAGGCGTTCATCTGATTTTGTGCTCTTTCGCTTCTTGACGATTCGTCCGCTGGTGTATGCTGATTTTCTCGGCTCAAAATCCTTCCCAATCATGGCTTCCAGGAGATCGCGGTGGACGAGTTTCATAGACTTGTGCCATTTTATTTGTGGGTTGGACTTCATTCATCAGCATAATATCTACAACCAACGAGAGAGAACAAACCTTCGCAAGAGTATCCCACAACTCATCGTCGCCCTCAAACAACTCCTTTTGCTCGTTCCACACCATGCCCTCTGTCCCTTGTAATACAAGGAAGTCGCCCCAGTAGCTTACCAAGGATCCATATTTGTTTCTGCAGTGTGCAACACTTATTGCCTTCTTTACTGCGTCCCCTTCAGGAATAATATCTACAACCTTGTCGAGAATACAAGACCATGCCTCCTCCGTGAATCTGCCATTGCGAGTGTTGTTCGTCCTTCCAAGGTTAAACTGTACGTAGCACTCCTTAAGAAGACCATCTTGCATCTTTGCCGACCAAGTCATTCGCGAGAACTTCTTTCCGTCATCGTTTGCGGCGGCGAGGGGACTGGGTTCGGCTTTGCTGGTTGCTGTCTTGGGTTTTGTGCGTGTTCCTGTTTGTGTTTGTGATGGAGTTGCTACGCTGGAATCCTCAAGAGAATCGACCGGATTGTGATCAGGGACAATAGGTGATTCTTGGGAGTCCGCCATGTTGTGTTGAGGTTGTTTGTTTGCAGGTGCGATTGAAAGAGAATCACAAAATTCAACTGGATTAAATAAGATAAAAAAGCAAAACCTTCAATAGTGAATAACCAGGCTAGCAAAAGGAGCCACTTGCGTAATTCACGTGCCCCAGCGCAAGACTCAACACAACCACTCATCTCGGTTACTGCAGCTCGCCAAGAAAATCTATCAACACTAGGACAAAAGCCCAAAAAAATAATCCAAAAGTCAACCAAAAGAACAGCAAAACTCAAGGCCGTACCTTCAATCCTGTTTTTTCAAGGAGAAGTGCTAGGCCTATAGAAAATCTCAGGGATAGGGGCAGGGATTTTTAAAGTTAATATGCTTTGACGGCGATGTGTACCGCTCACACCGGTGCCCAACTACATTAGCTAATCCTGGGTTCGGTGTGAGATGCTGGAAAACCTGTTATTTGACTCTATAAAGTTTTGTGGGCTAGGTTGCTCTGGTGGGAGCATAGCACCAATGAACATGAGCATTATCCTAGCCCAAAGGCCAAAATCAGGTGCCCTAACCGGGGTATCGGCGCGATGGGGATACTTGGAGTGAATAGGTGCTTCTCATCTACATCTGTCGGGATGTTACATACTTATTCTGCTTGAGGTTCTCCAAATCCTTTCTGCCAGTTATCTCGATTCATGTTAATCCCATATTTCCACGCAGATGTGTTTGATGCGGAGTGGTCGAAAGATAGCAATAAGGGCATCTCGGAAGTGAGTTTATGACAAGGCACAGGAATCCTGTAAGGAGATAACGAAAGATGTGTCTTATGATAGGAAGAGGATTCATAAATCAATAGAGCTGACGACCGAGCGTCTACCGTAAACATACTTCTACGACTCGAACTAGAGGTTTACTCACAAGGGTTGAACTACATCTAAATTTGCAGTAGTCATTTCTCCCCAAAGTTGAGTCATGATAGTACGCTTGACTTAAGTGTTAGTCATGTGAGCCTCAAAGCCTCAGTTTCCGTCAATTTATCTCTTATATAGTTGTAAGACAAGTCTTCAGTGGTAGGCGCAAAGCTTGCTGAGAACTTCTAAGCGAAACCTTTTCTATCTAGGAGATTTTACTGAAGAGCGACAAGAGCTGTAGGACCTGTTAATTTGGGATTGAATCTGCAATTGAATCTGTCAATTGATCTACAAATGCACACGTCCTACGGTGTATATTATTACGTTGCTTTAATCTCAACCTTGCTACATTTTATCATGCCTCTGCCATAAATACCCTACCAGCCTTTTTCTTAAGCCATAATTCATCTATACATGACATGAAGAACGAACTATCTTCTGACTCTGCTAGAGATTTCCAACTTCACTGTTGTGATGTAAAGAATTTCTCTGAATCCATGCAAGGAACATTGAGCTGTTGTTCAGTCATAGACTGTGAATAGTAACAACACGCCTAAAATGCGGAAACTATCGACGTCTTGTGAATAACAGATCTTGGAACTCTTTTATATAAAGGCCTCTTACAGTTTGATCTTTTCCAACAACCTCATTAAACTATGTATCTTCCGCTCTCGCTGTACCAAACAACCAAACTTTGAAGCTGCTATTTTGAGCTCGCTCATTATGCCTACAAATCTTACAGATCTCCCTCAGGAGATTCGCGATATGATCTGGAACGAACTTTTACTAGATGACACGGAAAATCGCCTAAAACACCGAAAGATATCAACTCAACTCTTCCAGGTCAACAAAGCGATCTCGGCTGACACACTTGCATTCTTCTACCGCGAAAATGCATTCGTACTTATCGAGGACATCGATACCAGGACCGGATGTTTTCTGAGTCACCTTCTAGATTCAGCTCTATTGACCAAATCGCGATGTCATATGACATTTCTATTACCGGACATGGAATTCCCACCAAAAGTCGCTTTAAGAATAAAGCTATTGCAAGGGTATAACAAGGCGGTGATGGGAGGGGAGAACAAATGGGAGGAAACAGTGGACCGGAGGTCTAAGCAGAGGGTTGTGCAAGTCTTGATGCCAGGAAAGTATCTTCCGAGATTGATTCAGACGATAAATTGTACCCGATCTCCTTTTTACTATGTAAAAGATTATGTGGGACCTCCTATCTTCGGAATGAAGCTAGATTTCGAGACCGAGCTTGAAGAGTATTACCAGGGAAATGGGGTGGCACAGCGACTTGTAGATGGTCTAAAAGGTCTTCTTCAATTTCAAGGTTACGATTGGTATAGTAATTGGCGTGGCTTCAATTCTGCAAGATTAATCACGGGGCCTACTTTCAACACCGAATTCACGATCACGGGGTTAGACGACAAGCTCGCTACTGAACTTCTACAAAATTCTGACCTTCCAATGTGGACAAGAGGAGATGTAATCGCGAAATCAAAGCATCTCATTCAGCAAGCCAAAACCCACGAAGCCCGCGGCGACTACGCAGAAGCATATCTCGACCTCTACGCAAGTCAACTCATGATAGGCCACCATAAAGTCCGTGGATTTATGAACGCGAACCTTCCAGCATGGATTGGGCTTGAAATCACCTCGATACTTTTCGATATCCTGTTTGCGTACAGCGAGCTGGCCTGGAACCTGCGTAGCGAGTACCGAGAATTTTTCCTTCGTCGATTTGATGTCGAATCGACTGGAGAAATTTCCAGGGCATTCGGCAAAGTCATGCGTAATTCCCCACGGCACCCCTATCTGAGAGGGGATCGTGCTGACGAAGGGCATTTGAAGGGATCCACGCTTGAAGATTTAAAAGCGAGAAGGTCAACCCTTTTTTTACGATATTCTCGTTATGCTCTCTCTATAGGAGACTTCTCTAACACTGTGAACTATCTTCGTTTGGCCCTGGCAAAGGACCTGAGAATTTAGAACTCCAGGGAATGAGCAAGGAGCTTGAGGAAACATCCAATTATGCAGATCTCACAGTAGAAGACCTAGACATGCTAATAACGAATATACGTGAAGAGGCTCTTGAAGGGATGCTAGAGAGAGAAAGAGAGTCAGGGAATTTTATAACGGGGACGAAATTTCTGAAAAACGGGCTATTTCGGAATTTCTTTATCCACCGAAACGACACCTTGGCTAATTCTCTCTACCTATACCCTTAGATAGACTAGATACAAATACATTTATGTTTGGTACTATATCAAAAACTACTTAAGGTGAACTTCTAGATCATCTCTGAGGAATCCTTCCTACTGTAAGTTAACTGAAGAATCCTTGGAGAGCTCCTGGCTTGAGTCAGCCTGTGACTCACAAGCAAATTATTACTATGAATTAGTACTTGGTTAAGAGGTAAAGTAGCAATGGTAAAGCATTTACATAAAGTACTTCAGAAATGATAGGGGAATAGTAAAGAGGGTTAGGAGAATTTAACAACAAGAATATAAGGCCTGAAGAGGACTTCCTTATAAGCTATATCAAGATTATCGTGATAGATTAAATTTATATGAGAATAAAGGGATCTGTTAACCTCTAATCAAGTGTCTTCCCATCAGAATGAATTATAGTACCATATCGACCAGTAATACTTGGTAAAGAGGATAAATTACATAACTGCTAAAGGCTCTACAACAACGCCGGGTAGGCCCCCAAAACATAATATTCATAACTGCCATCCGCCCAGCCAAATATCTGTACTCCATGTATATAAACAGCAATTCACATCCGATAAGAGTCTTTGCGACAGCCTGCCAAACTGCAGTAGCAAATCAACCCTCTCTTTCCACACCATAGTACCCCGCAACACTGAAGCTCAAAGCCTCCCGGTCCCACTTCAAGGTAACATTCTATTTAACAAGCTTTAAGTATCCATATCGCATCTGCTAGACAATTAGTCCAAACCCCATACACCACATAGCCAAGCTCCCTCAGACCTACCGAAGCTGTGATGGAGCCTGTAATTCTTTCGAAATCCTTGACCGGGATCCTCTTCAGCTTCCATTCCTTTGTTTGTCCTTTGAGATTGAATAACTCAATGAAGACCGCCTCGGAAGGGACCATGGCGGAATACTCTCATCTCTTTCCTCCAGTTTTGCATGAGGGTCTATAAAGACATAACTGATCAGCTCATGAAGCTAATCACAGATCAAAACAGCAATCAGAAGAGAGAACTTACTGCCACTTCATCTGCTTTCAATCCCACTAGCCATCAGGTCTTCCAGTTTATCGACCTGAGCCCGAAGCTTTCTTGCATCTTCCTGTGCGGCAGCAGCATTCACTGCTAATTCCTTGGCCTGGATTTCGAGGACGTAGTTCACCAATGCTTCCTTGGAGAAACTCTCGAGGTCGTCGCGAGTGAGCTTGGACAGGGAATCGAGTGTGAGTTCTGGCTTTCTGACGGCTGAGGTACGAGCCTTTTTGGCCGGGACTTCGCTAGGACCGGAGGACTTGCGTTTGGGAGGCATTGTGGGAATCTTGAGGTGATGTCGAGAGAAGGAGAAACACTTTCTCAATGTAGTAGAAAAGAAAGGAGAGATAAGGACGTAAGGAATGGAGGATGTCCAACGACTGAAGACTCGAATGGGACCGAGATGAAACTCAACCTCAAAGTCAGATGAAGCTCTCACCTATAGGGAAAGAGCCTTGGGAAGACGTGACGCGAGGCCGTGCGCGTGGTTGAGGCGACGTCACCTGACCTGCTCGCAGCCGAGGATTCCATGCCAGGTCCCAGACCTCACTTCCTCAAGAACTCCTTTTTAGCTTGGCTATCACAACATCACCAATATCTTCCCATATATTTTGTACCACGGGAATCTGGCAATACATGGAGTTTTTGTACTCACGAACTTGGTAGAGAAGCTATTTGTTTAACAAGTCTCTCCGAGGCTCCCACACTTTTAGGTCTAAGTTCTACTAGAGAAGGACTTCTCATGAATGACCAGTGGATTTTCTAATACATACTAATCTCAGAAATCCTCCACGTGGTAAATTATATCTGGTTGTCAAAGTTTGCCACAAAATCTTTTTTTGAGCTTTCAGATGTTCAAATTTGGGAAAAGAATCCACAAGTGGGATCTGAAGCTAACACAACATAGCATGCCATTAGTGGCATTGTATCTGCTCTACTTCTCAACTCTGCGAATCTTATATTTCTTACCAAATATTCATCTGATTGAGTCTGGAGGACAAATACAGTTGACGCCTTTCTGCTAAAGGATTATACGAGTACCTTAAAGTTCTCATGTTTTTCAACGTGGATGCGGTGCCACTACACATTGGTCGTTTTCAAGTGAGACTTTCTCCATTTCTCATGCGTTGAATAGTAGTTTCGTTTGAGTTTCTTGTTTTCCCTTGTTAACTTTGGAGAGTTAGAGAAACAACTGGCAGCTTCTTGGGCGGCGAAACTGAAGAAACTGTCATTGTCTTGAATTTCAATATCAAAAGCCTCTCTGTTGAAAGACTGCATAGCAAAGTCGTAATGCCTGACTGCCAAAGAGAAACTCCAAGCGTTAGTGGTATGCATGTTTTTAATTCACTTAACGCCTTCTCACTATCCTTACAGTTTATTGGATAACACAATGTGTTTCTGCAAAACTCCGGCACTTTTGTAGCGAGATTTCCGTGATGCCTATTAGGTAAGGCAATCTGACGGGAGGGCAAGCCGATAACCCACACAAATATCTCTCATATTCAACCCAATCAGGACACTACACTATCACACTCTGACATACCAGATCATCGGATCGCAGCGAACTTCAAAGCAGCCCATCAGGGGCATAAGCGAGGTATGAGAATCTTATGATATCGGAACCGATGGCAAGGATATATCTCTATCTGCAGAATAGACACTTTGAGAAGGGGACCGAAGGAGTGGCGAAACAAAAGAACTGACTGATAGCCACTGTAGTGTTCCTCTCCCCGTTTCTGCTGTCCCAAGTCCTACCAAGGAGACCACTTTCAAGTCCTCGACCACGAGTCCGAGGTCATCTATGGTATCACCGCGCTCCTCGCAGCTTTCAGTCCCGAACGACCAGTCGCGGCTCCCTCTCCAGTCGAATCGGATCACCGCAGCACGTTCATGAGAGACCTATACCTCCTGCCTATCTCACTTCAAAAGTAATCATCGAAACCTTGAGCCAATCTTGATACACATCGCTAGCGCATTGTGTAGCGAGAACCATGTTCCACAACTGGTCACGGTACTCTAACCGACCAACACCACGATATCTCTACAGAGTTGACCATCCAGGGCCTACTAGCTTGAGCAACATTCAAGGCGACGAACTCCGAGCTGCTGGATACGCGAAATCCCTTGTGGAATGGGAGGTCCATTTTCATCTGGGCGAGCCAAGCACCTTTTTGCGAACAGTCGAGAAGCACCTCAAATGTGATGACACTCCAAGTATCTTTATCTCCTGCTTTGAGGATCTGTTTGAGGCCCTCAATTGGCTCCTTACTGCACACCAGGTTTGGCCAGGAGAGGTAAATCTGCTGCGAATCGACCTCCAGCACCCCTTCTTTTCGCAACCTGTCTATGGCGGTGGAGGCGGTCCGCATGCATATAGAGTCCAAGATATCCTTGACTTGCCTCAGAGACATAGGATATTTGGATGGTCGGAACTATTGCAGCAGAATGCAGCATTTCGGAACCAGCGAGAACTTCAACCACTTCTCCCGTTTCCGCAAAACTCGGAGTGGTTGATTCATTGGAACGTACATCAAGGAGCGATTAAGTTGATTCCCGGTGAAGTTCTCATTGATATGAGGACCCAAAGAGAAGGAGTTATGGGATTGGAAGACCGTGTGTACTTTGATGATCCTAGTAAGTAAAGTCTGATTCGTCAACCGAAGGATATTCGCTAACTGAAGAAGTGTATGGCTCATTACATTGGCTCCAAGGTGAATCTGAACTCACCCAGATACACCGATGGTCCGAGTGGAACCGGAGTCTACAATGGCTGAACCAACTGATCCCTCTGCAACAACCGCTATCCCCACAAGCACAACAATGGCTCACAATCTTCGATGCGATGAATGCCTCCGCAGAGGTACCCCCGGATGCAACAAATTAGCTCCTTGCGGACCTTGCATCGCTCAGAATCTCTTCTGCGTCTATGCTGAAGATGGGGACCAATCTGAGATGGCAGGATTGGTGGTGATGGGTGGTAACTCTGCTCAGAACTACTCGATGGCTAGCCAACTTCCCCAGACACAGTCCCTTGACGCGATGCCGACTCCCAGCTTCTTTCTGCCAAGCGGCTCTTTGCCACAAAATGATCTCTTCGCCCAAAACGACTTCTCTCTTCAAGAGAATGCCAGCGATCGCTTTTCACCAGACCTTCTCACGTCTCCAACGTTCCCAAATAGTCCGCTCGTTCCAGGCGAACAAAGTGGACTAGATCAGTTCCGACAACCAAACGAATCCTTCCAACACGCTTTTGAGGGAGAACAATCCACATTCACATCAGGTTCACCCAGTATACCAGCACAAGTCCCAACTCCAGCCCAACAACCCAGCCCCGCACCCCGAGCAAACCCCCCATCCCTCCCCAATATTCAAGTGGCAGCAAGCCCAAGTAATACATCCAATCTCAATCTTCTCATTCAATGCGGCCACCGAATCAAGATCCTCGAGAGAATATCCCAACTCGACAGCCTTTCCAGCCTCCCACACAGCGGCATCGTACAACCCGAACGAGCAGTAATGAACATCCAAACCATGGTTGAGTACGACGTGCGACTCGGAAACCTCGAAGCTGGGTTCGCTCAACGTGGATTGCTGAATAGTGAAGGCGCGTTGCGTGGCATCCATGGGTTTCACAGCCATACGTTGGGACGCTTGGATTCTCGACTTAAGGACCTTGAGGCGGCGATTTTTCGACGACAGGCTCAGTTGTTTGGTGTGGAATGAGGGAACTGGTAGCGTAGGAACGTGGGAATTGGATGGTGGACTTGCTGGCGACCCCTTTCTCAACTGCTTTTCAAGGGATTGGGTTGCGTGGCATGGATTATACGATTCGTCGTCTTGCCGAGCAAGTCTGCATACGTTCTGAGATTGGTCAGACTATTATTTCTTCACATTTCCTTGTTTCCTTCTTTTCCCCCTTTCTCTCTGTCCATTAAGCGAGACAGCACAAGCACCTTTGGTCGCGCATCAAGCATGGAGGGAGAACTACACAAAACGGCGTCTGGAGCACAAATCACTTTCTTTCTTTCATTCTTTCTTTTAGGGGGCAAAAATACGATTTGATTACTGGGAATACTATGATGGCGTTGTGGAGACAGCAATAGGAATAGCATCTAGGTAGCGAGGTAGAGAAGAGTACTAATTCTCTGATAATTGAATACTAGTTGTGTATTTCTCTTTTGATAGTGTAATGAATGAAACATGAGACAAAATTGTGAATTCCTTGTAATACCGTGCCCTGCTTCCTACTTGTTTCTTTTTGAACTCGCTAAATTCCTAGACTTAGCCACTAACACACCACCTCACCTAGCAGGAATACAGATACTCCTGTCTATAGCCTTAACATCCTCCACTTCCTCCAATAATCAAGCCCTCTCAAACACCAAACATACAAACCACCCTTCCAGATTCATAAGCCCTTTCAAGTGCAGTAATCAAATTAACTTTCACCAACATTATTGAGTAACAACTTCTTACTAACTATGTATAAGAGGAGTATAGAAATAACACGTTTACATACAACAGAAGAGATTACCAGATTTCACTTCTCTTATACTTAACTTGGTAATTCTAGCTGTAGTGTATATATAGGATGTACATTTAACGTGGTTTATCAGCGAGTCGATCATATCACCGAGTCGATCACTTTTCCTTGGCACTACCTCCTCAAACTTCAACACACGTTTTCTTCAACTATTTACCATGGAAATTCAAACTCAAGAAGCGCGAATTACTCTAGCTATCGAGGCTATTCGGTCGTCCAAAAAACTAAGCAAACGCTCTGCGGCAAAGATCTACAATGTACCATATACGACTCTTTCCGACAGAATGGCTGGCCGAACCTACCGCCCAGATTCTCAAGCCAATTGTCATAAGTTGACTGAGTTAGAAGAGGAAGTGATTATTCGGTATATACTGGATATGGATTCCAGAGGATTTGCGCCCCGGCTCGCTGGTGTAGAAGATATGGCTAATTTTATCCTTGAATCGCGGGGGGGAAGACGCGTCGGCAAGCTCTGGGCCCATCGATTCGTACAACGACAACCAGACCTTAAGACGCGTTTTAATCGCGTTTACGACTTCCAGAGGGCCTTATGCGAAGATCCTGACGTGCTAGGCGCATGGTTCCGGCTAGTAGAGAATATGAGGGCGAAATATGGGGTTACAGACTCCGACTTCTACAACTTCGACGAGACAGGCTTTATGATGGGTGTTATTTGTCCTAGAATGGTTGTTACTCGTGCAGACCGACGTGGTAGAGGCAAGGCAGTTCAGCCAGGCAATCGGGAATGGGCTACAGCAATTGCCTGTATTAATGGGGAGGGCTGGAGTATTCCTCCATTCTTGGTAGTTCAGGGCAAGAACCATCTCTCCAACTGGTATACCGACGGCGGCCTCCCACCTAACTGGGTTATGAAACCGACAAGCAATGGTTGGACAAATAATGAAACAGGCCTGGAATGGTTAAAGCACTTTGATAAACACACTACAGCTCGTGCAAAGGGTCTGTATCGAATACTAGTTTTGGATGGGCACGAGAGTCATGAATCGGCTGAGTTCCAAGACTACTGTACGAAACACAACATTATTACTCTTGGACTACCTCCTCATTCATCCCATCTAACCCAGCCACTTGATGTTGGGTGCTATAGTGTGTTAAAACGAGCGTATGGTCGGCAGATTGAGACGTTTATCAAGGCCCATATCAACCATATTACAAAGGTTGAGTTCTTTCTAGCCTTTACAGCAGCATACAAGGAAACAATGACAGTCCTAAACTGTCAGTCTGGATTCCGCGGAGCTGGCCTAGTACCATTTAACCCGCAAGCAGTGCTTTCAAAGCTTGACGTAAGGTTACGGACTCCAACTCCCCCTCGGACGTGTAGTGCCAACTCCCTCCCCTGGGTGTCCCAGACCCCTTCCAACCCAACTGAAGCCCTTTCACAATCAACTCTTGTACGAAATCGTATAGCCTGTCATCAAGGAAGCTCGCCAACTCCACTTTTTCAAACAGTTGCTGCGTTAGCAAAGGGTACAGAGCGAATGGCACATGAGATGACCCTTTTGTCTGCTGAGGTCCGTACCCTTCGCGCTGCAAATGAAGCCCTAAGTAAACGCCGTAGGGCTAAAAAGACTCGTGTCCGCCAAGGAGGGGCACTTATAGTAGAGGATGTACAGGATATGTTAGCTCAGGAGGATGTAGATGAGCAAGTACGACGCGACATGCGTGAGGCGGGGGTTGGTTATAAGGAGGGGCAACCTTCTAGGCGGCGCTGTAGAACTTGTGGAAAAGCTGGTCATAACGCGCGAACTTGTCAAGAAGTTATAGATATATCTAGTTCGTCAGATATAGAGAGCGATAATTAATTTAATATATTGTGGTTGATTTATTTAGGTGTAAAGTTCTGTGCCAAGAAAAAGTGATCGACTCGGTGATATGATCGACTCGCTGATAAACCACGTTAGATATTTTCTTTATATTAAGTAAGCTAGTTCTTTATATAATTAATAAATCTATAAGAAAGAATACTATATATTAGCTAAAAAACATATTAGTAAAATATACCTAGGAGATAATAAGTAAATATTAGATTTATATACTCCTAAGACCTATAGATATACTTATTACTAATATAGGTAAGAACTTTACTTCTAAAGAGTTTACCTTATATATAAATACTCTTAGTATTAAAGTTAAAGCTATTCTTATTAAAGTATATAATTTAATTAAACTAATTAAATAGCACTATAGCTTACTTTAATACAGTTATAATATTTTAATTAAAGAGATCTCGGATTTACCTAAGTGTAACGAATACTCAAACTGGCTAACTAAACTTGGCTGGGTGTTCGCTGGTTGGTATGCTATGATAAGAAGAAGACTATCGGGTTGTTCACTTGGAAGTGAACTCGTTACTTGTATCAAAGATGTCAAACTAATATGATAAGATTGATAACTAAGTTGAGCACGAAGCTCCTATCTAATGGCAGACGTGCCAGTCTTATATAGACGCTTCACTTTCCTGTACTTTGCCAGGACCGCTGGTCGGTCCTGTCGTTCCAGAAGTTCAGACCGATCGTCGGTCCAGTCGGTCCAACTAGTCACGTGATAAGATACGAAGGAAATCCCTGGATCGCTTAGCTGGCCCAAGCGATCCCATTTGCTATAAGAGCGTTCAATAGTGCTTGACTTGTCAGGACGCCGCGGGGTCTTCACTTCTCACGTGACAACACGTGATTCGTGACGCTAAGAATACTATACTATAAATAGTAGTAAAAGCCTTAAATAATACTATTAGACCTAATAAACTTATACTAACTCTACTAGTTTTCGAGGTATATCTAAAAATAGTAGACTATAAGATACTATTAACTATAGTTACTTAGTAATCCGCTATACTTATAAAAGTAATAATAGAAGTACGTAAGATTAAAGTAAGATAATAGGTTAAAGAGGTACTTAATACTAAAAATAGACTTATAAATATAATTAAGGATTTTGTCACGGATGCCAACAAAGGATAAAGTGTATACAGCTTTTGAATCAATTGCTAGAACTAAAACCGTAGGTACGAAGAAATCAAACTAAAGAGAGAAGAGAATCTGAAAGGAGCGAAGTTATTTAAGTTGTTCCAATGCCAAGTCTCGTCACGTGCTTGGCCAAGCGAATGAAATCCTGTCAAATGAAATCCAGCTCCGTCACTTAATGTCACGGATGCCAACAAAGGATAAAGTGCAGAAAAAGCAGGCAGTACAAGCTAATAAGCACCGACGTGCTGTGGACTGGGATGTTGGTGACAAAGTGTGGGTTTCTACAAAGCACTGGAGAAGTGACCGCCCAAGCCGAAAACTTGGAAGCCAGCAAGAGGGACCCTACGAAGTGTTAGAAAAGGTCGGCAAAAGCTACAGACTCGCATTGCCAGGTTCTAACCACGTACATCCTGTCATTCACGCTGACAAGCTGAGAAAAGATCCAAACAACCCCCTTCCTGGGCAACACAACAACCAGCCAGTTGTAGTTGAGTACCACGAGGGTCCAGAATACGAGGTTGAAGAGGTAATCGCATCAAGGAAGCGTGGCATGTATCGGATAGAGTACAGAGCAAAGTGGACAGGTTTGGATTACGACGAAGTCTGGTACAATGCAAGTGGATTCAAAGGAGCGCCTCACAAGCTACAGGAGTTCCACACAAGATATCCAAAAGCAGTTGGGCCTCCCAAGAATCTGGCCTACTGGCTTGAGTGCTACGAAAAAGGAGTAGAACCCGAAAAACGACAAGACGACGACTACAGACTTATGCGCTCGGGACGAGCTTCTTCGGAGGGGGGGGTGATGTGACGGAGCTGGATTTCATTTGACAGGATTTCATTCGCTTGGCCAAGCACGTGACGAGACTTGGCATTGGAACAACTTAAATAACTTCGCTCCTTTCAGATTCTCTTCTCTCTTTAGTTTGATTTCTTCGTACCTACGGTTTTAGTTCTAGCAATTGATTCAAAAGCTGTATACACTTTATCCTTTGTTGGCATCCGTGACATAACCTTTACTCGGTGTATATATCTAATAGTCGAATACAATACTATTCTATTTATATTAACACTTTGTCTAGACTCTCTATTAGAGTTAAACTAACACATATATAGTAAATGAATAAAATGAAATAATCTAAGGATCTAGTAATATTTTAGTTTCGAATAGTATTTCTTATAATAATAACAAGTATTCTATAACTTTAAGCTACCAGTATCTATCTAACTATTCTCGGAGGCGAGACTCTCTCTATAGTACTCGTAAGTAGCTAGGATTACTGTAATTAGTTCTATTTTAGCGCTATCTAACTACTTAGATTATATCCTACAGTAGTGCCAGGTCACGTGGATAGTGCGTGAACGTCAGACCGCTGGGGCAACTTGGACAGACAAACAAGATCGCTTAAAATTTTACCAAAAGATTGGACATTAGTACTCAACCAGAATTGTGCTCTGTCGTTCTACAAATAGAGAAAGATAAAAGAGTGTGTTTTAATTCCAGTTCCAACTCCACCAATTCCATCTGTCCGTTCATATCCCTCTACTTCCCTCTACTCCTCGCGTAATACTTTACCAAATACAAACATACGTACGTCTAAAATGGAAAGCTGGTAGGATCCAGACAGGCTAATAGTAAGTAAGGTACTAAACTTTCACAAACCCATCAACATTGAAACATGGATGAAACATTTGGAGGAATTCGTACACGACGCTCCAAGAATAGGGTATCAGTCATTCGCTATCGATCTCTCATCTCTAATATGCACCGCGTCTTCTGTCTCTTGTGTTTTTGAGTCAAGGTTTTCTGGGCAGAGGCTTTCAGCCCGCAGCCTTCATGCTGAAAGAAGATAAACGAGATAAAGAGAGGGTTAGACACGCTAGTTGGTATGGCGTTTCAGACAAATACTGGTTTGGATTTACAGGAAATTTTGCCTTGAGCTTGTTTAGGAGTGTAAAAATTGTAAGTTTTGACGTTGTTATGGGTGTGGACTGTGTAATCCTAGATATTGAAAGTGAGACCATGAAGGGGGAACTGTGAGCTACTTATGGTCTATATATAGCAAAAGAGAGACACAGAGACATGAGTCGGTCCGATTGGTTTTCTTTTCATGGCCATGTATATGAAGTAGTGAAGTGGGAAAGCTAATCTTTCTGTGCAGAATTTTGACAAAGATGAAATTGGCTATGACATTAGGACAAACTGTTTTAATTCTAGAATTATCATCCAAATTCAAGGCTTGTAGGACGTTTTACAAACCCCTTCCCTTCCACTTCTCAAGATTTTACTGACGATCCAAAGGCTTTGAATTAGTGAATTTCAATGAATTGGAGCTGAAAGAAGAAGCACAGCTTATCTCATATGCTAAGCTTTAATCTAACAGGTCTGTCTTTTCGGTTAGCGTAGGCATATGAAAGGGCCAAGCGAAGCTAGAACTTTACAAACAGGGGAGGATTCGGTACAATTTATACCGACCTGATTCTCTTTCCTGACATACCTCAAAGTGAAAGTCTAAAAGAATGGTATGAATTATTTATAGAGCTACAATAGTGACCATGGTAGCAAAAGCCAAAGGACTTGAAAGCTAATAAGTCTCATACGTGATATATCCAGTTTTAACTATTTGAAGTGAAGCTCCTCACTTTTGAATAATGAGCCAGGATAAGCGAAAACCTCCACCTCATACGCCAACCACGCTAGCACTTGCCACGAGGAAATTATGTCCGCAGAAGTAAACCCGCGTGTTGCTAAATCCCGTTGCCCCTCCATCCCCGCCTCCAAAACAACTCCATCCACATACCAACGTTGTCTTCAACATCGTCCTGTCCAAGTCCAAGTCCAACTACCAACCACAACATGGCGGCCAACGACGGTTATGAAACAGAAGTAGCTGCCTGGAATCTGCAAATTGCGGATACTGAAGCACTTTTGGAGGCGCTTGAGGACCCTGATTCACGCGCGGCAGCCCAATTCTATCTCGAAGAACTTCAACACACCAGGACTCTTCTTCAAGATCGCCATATGGGTCAAAGCTTGGCGCAGGCATTCGACAACGACGCTGAACTTTCAAGTGACAACGCCGAGACAAACGAACCAGCCACCGAGCATCACGAAGATCAAGATATGGCTAGTCTCGCAGCACTCGATATCCCAGCTCCGGTCGAAATGGAGGATCTCAACAATCTTATCCCCGAGAAGGCAGACAACACGTGTGTCATCTGTCTCGACGAAAATCTCCCCAGTTCTCAAGCCGCCTTGCGCCCATGTGGCCACGCCTACTGCGGTCCATGTATCCAAGAGCATTTCGACAAATCTTTGCAAGATGAGTCTATTTTTCCTCCCGCTTGCTGCGATCAAGAAATCATTCCCGAAGAGGTCAATTCCTTCCTGAGACGCGGTACAAGACGACGCTTCTATGAGAAAAAGATCGAATTCTTGACACCACACAACAGAAGAGTCTGTTGCTCCAACGTCGATTGCGCCACATTCATTCCCATGGATACCCACGACTTGATCAATAACGACGCTACATGCCAGAAGTGCCACACTATCACCTGTATTATGTGCAAAGAAGCAACCCATTGGGATGTGGAGTGTACGGAAGATCACGCCTTAAACCGCGTTTTGGAGATTGGAAGAGAAGAGGGGTGGAAGCGATGTGAGAACTGCCGTACCATGATCGATCTTGCTCAAGGATGCTTTCATATGATGTAAGTGTTTCTTCATGCCACTTTCTTTCTTCTATCAAACATTCTGACTTCGCAACAGCTGTGTATGTGGCCACGAATTCTGCTATCTTTGCGGCGCGAGGTGGAAGACCTGCCCTTGCGATCAATTCGACGAGGCGCACCTCTTGGATGGCCCTCCCCCCGACAACGAGATCCAAATCCATCCACACGCCTTCTGTAACCCGGCGCGCCGCTGGGGACGTGTTGAGGGGGAGCACATTTGCGAGATCTGTTTCACTACGATGCTGGTGTTCATCCTAGAGTGTACAACGTGTGGAATCCGGGCCTGCCATCGCTGCAGATACCACATGAATCCAGTGCAATAAGGAGTTATACCCGGCGTGGAAACGTGTATATGAGATAAGGGAGATTGTTTCTTTGGTTCTTTTGATGACTTGGGTTTTTTAAAAAAGAGATGTTTACGTATTACAAGGACAAGGACCTCTGATAAATTGATTTTGTTACGAACTTTGTGTGCACTTGTAGTGGTCTTGTTCAGTTATCTTGCGACGTTGTCCCTTTTACTAATCTAGTCGGTTATTTAGCGATGTTACCCCTTTTTCTTTGTCCACTCCTACCTAGCAATTCGGTTGTTTGGCGACGTTGCCCCTTTCTCCATTTGCGCCAAAGAAAAGTGGGTCGGTCGTTTTAAGCAAGAGCTAAATCATGACAGAAAACATATAGCTCTTCTAGATTAACATTTTGTATTTAGATAGAGCATTTTATGTAACCACTATATCTGTTTAATTTCTCGGTACTTATATAGTATATTATAGTCAAATAAACTTCTAGTAAATAAGAAAAATAGTAAATACTTTTTCTATAAGTTATATTTTTAAGTTAATAGAAATTATAATAGTATTAAATATTTTGAAACAATTAAATTCTCTATACTTTTAGTAATTTATTTACGTATTAAACTAAGTTTAATAATCTAAATAATTTTTTAATCTTTAATAAATTAATTCTATTAACTTATTTAAAATAACTAAACTATTTTTAATATTAAGAATTAAAATCGTTTTAGTGTTTTAAAATAATTACCTTAAATATTCTAGAATTTCTATCTAATTAACTTCTTTACTTTAGATAATTAAGGAAACTAATTTAGTTTAAAGTTTATTATAATATATTAAATAGAAATTAAGAGCTAGAAAATAGTATTTGTGACGACACGTACGCAAGGCCCACGGTGTAAGTTGTGGAATCGTAGAACTGTCAATTAAACAAAGATTCTAAGCTGAGGAGAAGAGGAGAGCTCGAGAGAGCTTCGATCTAAATACTTGGTGTGGTGTAACGAATACTCAAACTGGCTAACTAAACTTGGCTGGGTGTTCGCTGGTTGGTATGCTATGATAAGAAGAAGACTATCGGGTTGTTCACTTGGAAGTGAACTCGTTACTTGTATCAAAGATGTCAAACTAATATGATAAGATTGATAACTAAGTTGAGCACGAAGCTCCTATCTAATGGCAGACGT